GGACCCCACCTTGAGGTTTCGAGACCCCACTTTGGGTCCCGACCCCAACTTTGGGAAACACTGCTCTAGACTAATAAAGCTGAAATCAGTTGAAGAAGTTAAAACTGAATTGTTAATAAGAAACAAAACTAAAAACTAAAAGGACCAAAACTGTAGCTAAATATTAAAAGTAAAACGCTACATTTTAGCTAAAAGAGGAAAGGGGTATACGTAGTTAGATGTGAAAAGTAGCAAAAAGCTAGCACAAAAGTAAGCAGAACTCGAGCTTGTGTAAAAGTTCCAAAAACCTAAAGTAATAGCAGTCGTCTTCTGAATGAGTTGAACGTTTTGCTGTATGAATGATTAAAATAGCACAAAGTGACCAAAAGCATGCAGAAATAAACTGTGTAGAACAACAACACGAATGCTGACTCAGCAGTAAACTGCAACACACCAATCTTACAGTTAGTTTTGTTTGTGTGTGCTAATCTGAAGAAGAGAATGATTTGTTGTAACACTACACCCTTTTAATTAAAAGAGGAAGTGTGTGGTTGGCATGATTATTATTCCGGCTGCAGTGAGGTTGTTCAGAGTCACCGCCTGCCGTAGGACTCGGGTGTTGGATAGATCTAAAGGAACCATGACCGATAGGAACCTGATCTAGATGAAAGATGAGWTTAGAAAAACTGCTCAGCTTTGAAACAAAATTTGACACGTTTCCAATATTTTGAACTCCTAGTGACACCTAGAGGCAGCTGCATTATTATGCTTTTCCAGTGAAACTGTGTGTGTTGTGTTTGTGTGTTTAGGTGTGGTGTGTGCGCCAGAAGCACAGAACGACTCTTCCCCAACTCCTCAGATTCGGGCTCCCTGTACAGCTCCTACTCCAGACAGCTCAGTACTGAATCAGAAGGTAACAATACAAACATTTTATCAACAAAATATATTTTTACTTTTTTTTTAGATTTTTACTGGATCAGCTCGTTTTATCTTTTATCAAATGTTGAATCCTGTCACTCTGTTTGTCTCCTCAGATGAGTGGGTGAGTGTGAAGGGCAGGTTCAAGTGTGTGTCCCTCACATGTATGTCCAGCTCATGTGCCAGAAGTCCTCTGGGCCTCTCACCTTCTGCCCACCTGGCAGACGGAACCGGAGACCTCATCCTGGTCTGGGACACTCACCCTCTGAGCTTTCTCAAGTTCCTCCACAGGCACACAAGCAGTCAGGACCGGGTACTGGGTTCAAATGGGAAAACATAATGATAATAATAATAATAATAATAAAAACTCACATGAACTAATTGTTCTTTTTAAATTGTTTTCTAGTTTGATTTCCCATTTGTGGAGGTCCATCGYGTGAAGGCGGTGCGCTTCAGTCTAGAGGGAGCCACTGAGCAGGAGGGGCGGGAAGGATTAGGAAGCCTCAGTGCTGGGCTGGATGCTGGAGGCAGGAACGGGTCTCAGCATCACTTGGAGCAAACGAGGAATGAGGAGAAAACGGTGACTCCCTTCATGTGCTGTCTGGGCTGCAAAAAAGCTCCCGACGTGTCAGTCTGGAACTGCGATGGAGAGATTCTGCCTTTCACTAACATTTCCTGCAAGTAAGGCRACACATCCAGATCTGACTCATCAGGAAACTAGTCTGTGTGGCAGTGTTTTAATCTGTTCTGGGTTTTTTTTTTCTCTGCGTTTACCAGAATTCATGGCCAGTTGGTGCGTCTGTACGCCCGAGGCATCGAAGACGCAGCCAGCATCAGCAGTCAGGACAGGGTTGAGTGCAGCAGAATATGAACTACGTATGAATTATCTGAATTTTAGATAATGAGGGGAGAAAAGTCAATTATGAAACACGAGTGATGGAAATGTACAAGAAGAGCCAGCTGCAGTCTCTCATTGCCAAAGAGTTTCTAATGTTTCAGGTACTTTTATACAATCTCACTGTAATAACGGGAAAAATGTATTTATTATTGTTGTGTGTGTGTGTGTGTGTGTGTGTGTGTGTGTGTGTGTGTGTGTGTGTGTGTGTGTGTGTGTGTGTGTGTGT